CTGGGACTTCCCGAGAACCTCTCGGGGTAGAAAGCTCGGATTCTCGGTTCATCTTTCCCTTCTTGGGCCTCTCTTGGGGCCGTCTTGAGGCCCTCTCGGGCCGTCTTGGGCGCCTCAGGCACCGCCTTGGGGCTCTCGTGGGCCGCCCAGGGCCCTCTTGGAAGCCTCTTCGGCTATCTTGGAGCTGTCTGGGAGGCCTCTTCCTCCTCCTCGTCCCCCTCCCCCTCCTCCCACTCCAGCTAGTCTCTCTCTCTCCTCCTGATCTTCTTCCTCCTGCAGCGTGTTCCGGAAGGCTCCCGCCGGAACATGCTGTGCACAAGTGCTGTCACTGCTCCCGCCGCCGTGCCCTGGGTGGTGGGTCAGAGGCCTCATGGGTGTTGGTTTGGATCTCGTGGTTGGCCTGTCGGGGACGTCGTGAAGGCAGTTTCGCAGCTTCTCGGTAGCCGTTTTGGGACCGTTGTGGGGCCTCCTCGGGGCTGTTTTGTGGCCTCTTTAGGCCTCGTTTGGGCCTCCTGGGTGCCTCTTGGGGGCCTCCTGGGGCCTCTTGGGGGCTCCTTGGGGCCTCCTGGGGCACTCTTCAAGCGGGAGGGTCGAATTTTGGAGTCGTGGTCCCCCTCTTGGGCGCATCTTGGGGCCGTCTTGGGGCTCTGTTGGGCTGTCTTGGGCGACTCTGGGGCCGTCTTGGGGCCCTCTTGGGCCGTCTTGGGGCGCTCTTGGGGGCCTATTGAGCCGTCGTGGAACGTCGGACAGCCGAAAAGGCTGGAAGGCCAAAATCGTTCGAAAACCTTCGTAAACTTGACGATTTCGGCCTCGAGGCGTCTTGAAGCGTCGTGGAGTGCCTTGGGGGGCCTCTCGGGCCGTCTTGGGCCTATCTTGGGCGTCCTGGAGCGGCCTTTCGGCGACTCGGGGCCCGCTTGGGCCGTCTTGGGAGCCTCTGGAGGCCCTCCTGGACTATTTTGGACCTCCCCGGCCGCCCCTCCTCCCATGGGGGGTCGGAGGCGGCGCCCTCCGAGGCCCAGGACGCGGAAACCCTTTTAAAAGCACATGGAAAATGAGCCCCAGTACCCCCATGGAGGCTTTTCGGCGCTCTTGGACCGATGGGAGCTCGAAAACGCGAGAAGCCAAAAACATTGAAAAGAACATTGAACATATACGATTTTGGCCTCTCCAGGCCGCACCGCGATACCTATCAGACTTCTTGGGGTCTCTTGGAGGCCACCTGGGAGCCTCGAGAGCCGTCGGAAGGCTGACTTGGGCTGCTCGGGAGCGTCTTGGGCAATCCTTTCGCATTCTCGGGGCTCCTAGGGGGCGTCTTGGGCCCTCCTGGAGCGCTGTGGAGGCTGCCCAGAAAGGCTGGGGCAGCAGTGCCGGGAGCGTCCCCGAGATGTGGCCATATCTTTTCAGCGCGTTCCAGGAGCATCTTCCCGGAACGCGCTCGTGGCAGGGCGCCCACGTCCGAGGACGTTGGCATGGGAAACCGCAGCGCGTGATCATTCCAGCGCGTTCCGGCGAAGACCGTCCGGAACGCGCTTGGGCAAGCGCTGGGTTTGAGTAAGGCGAGTGGGAACCGTTCAGGCAGTTTGGGATGCTCGGGGCAAGAGGCGGAAGCCATCCTCAGAAGACATGCAGTCTTCCTGGAGCCGTCTTGCAGAAAACAAAAAAAAAAAATGAGATCCTGCAGTCGTTCCTGGAGCCGTCTTGGAGCCCTCTTGGGCTGCCCTGGAGCCTGTTGGAGCCCTCTGCGGAATGGTCTTGGAGCCCGCGCCGAGGATCTGGAAAATGTCCGGGACCATCGCGGCGGCCTCCAAGGCCCGGGACGCCGAAACCCCGTGAAAACACAGCGAAAAGGAGCCCCGGTACTCGCATGGAGGGTCGGGTAGCTGTTTTCGGGCCCCTGGGTTAGAACCATCGCGCGCGCTTCGCGCGCGCTCAGGTTCTAGCCCAGGCCGGGGGGCGCTGGACGATCTTGGACAACGCTATCAAGCACAGGCGCGCGACGGCATCTGAGGATCTTCTGGGGTGTTCCGCATGCTTCGTCAACTGGCTGTTGGAGGCACCTCTTGGGTGCTTCTTGGGGGGGCGTCTGAGGGTCCCTTGGGGGCATCGGTTCTGCAATCTGAAGCCGTCATTGGCCGTCTTGGCTGCGTGGAGGCCCGATTTGAGGCCACCTGCGGCCAGATTGAGGCAATCCGGAAGCCTCCCAGGGGCCTCCTGGAAGCAGTTTTGACGCATCGAGCGTACTCTTGGGCTATTTGAAAGCCTCTTGGACGTCTCCTGGTGGCCTTTTGCGCCCTCGGGGAAGCTTTTGGGGTCCTCGTCGGACCACTTGGGGGCCTCTTGCGGCCTCCTGTGGGCCTTGTGGGGGGACCGCTCTGCTGTTGGGTCGCGTTCCCCTTCTTGGGCCTCTCTTGGGGCTCTTGGGGCCCTCTCGGGCCGTCTTGGGCGCCTCAAGCACCGTCTTGGGGCCCTCGCGGGCCGTCTTGGGGCCCTCTTGGAGGCCTCTTCCTCTATGTGGGAGCGGTATTGGAAGCCTCTTGGGCCGTCTTGGAGCATCGGGATGCCAAAAGGCCGAAAAAAAAACGTCAAAGCCCAATCGTAAAACAATGTGTTGTGCCTCTTGGGGCCACCTTGGGAGATCTCTTGGAACCTCGTCGGCCCTCTTGGGAGCTTCTTGGGGGCCTCTTGGATCCGATTGGGGGCCTCTTGGGACTTCCCGAGACCCTCTCGGGGTAGAAAGCTCGGATTCTCGGTTCGTGTTTCCCTTCTTGGGCCTCTCTTGGGGCCGTCTTGGGGCCCTCTCGGGCCGTCTTGGGCGCCTCAGGCACCGCCTTGGGGCCCTCGTGGGCCGCCCAGGGCCCTCTTGGAAGCCTCTTCGGCTATCTTGGAGCTGTCTGGGAGGCCTCTTCCTCCTCCTCGTCCCCCTCCTCCTCCTCCCACTCCAGCTCTCTCTCCTCCTGATCTTCCTCCTCCTCCTGCAGCGTGTTCCGGAAGGCTCCCGCCGGAACATGCTGTGCACAAGTGCTGTCACTGCTGCCGCCACCGTGCCCTGGGTGGTGGGTCAGAGGCCTCATGGGTGTTGGTTTGGATCTCGTGGTTGGCCTGTCGGGGACGTCGTGAAGGCAGTTTCGCAGCTTCTCGGTAGCCGTTTTGGGACCGTTGTGGGGCCTCCTCGGGGCTGTTTTGTGGCCTCTTTAGGCCTCGTTTGGGCCTCCTGGGTGCCTCTTGGGGGCCTCCTGGGGCCTCTTGGGGGCTCCTTGGGGCCTCCTGGGGCACTCTTCAAGCGGGAGGGTCGAATTTTGGAGTCGTGGTCCCCCTCTTGGGCGCATCTTGGGGCCGTCTTGGGGCTCTGTTGGGCTGTCTTGGGCGACTCTGGGGCCGTCTTGGGGCCCTCTTGGGCCGTCTTGGGGCGTTCTTGGGGGCCTATTGAGCCATCTTGGAACGTCGGACAACCGAAAAGGCTGGAAGGCCAAAATCGTTCGAAAACCTTAGTAAACTTGACGATTTCGGCCTCTGGAAGCGCTCTGGAGAGGCGTCTTGAAGCGTCGTGGAGTGCCTTGGGGCGCCTCTCGGGCCGTTTTGGGCCTATCTTGGGCGTCCTGGAGCGGTCTTTCGGCGACTCGGGGCCCGCTTGGGCCGTCGTGGGAGCCTCTGGGGGCCCTCCTGGCCCATGGGGGGTCGGAGGCGGCGGCCTCCGAGGCCCAGGACGCGGAAACCTTGTAAAAACACAAAGAAAATGAGCCCCGGTCCCGCCATGGGGGGTGGAGGCACTTGTCCTGGTGCCCCCAGCCTCGCCCCCAGGGATATATATATATATATATATATATATATATATATATATATATATATATATATATACACACACACATATATATATACATACAGAGAGAGAGGGAAAGAGAGAGAGAGAGAGGGAGCGAGAGAGGAGAGAGAGAGAGAGAGAGAGAAAAAACAAAAAACAAAAAGACAGAGAGACAGAGAGGAAGAGAAAGAAAGGAGTGCGAGAGAGGGAGAGAGAGAGAGAGAGACGGAGAGAAATAAAGAAGGGGAGTGATCAAGAGAGAGAGAGAGAGAGAGAGAAAGACAAAAAAAAGGGAGGGAGAGGGAGACGGAGGCAGTGTTCGCCGCCCTCCAAGGACCGGTTCACCGCGTGCGAGTGGCCCGCGAACATCGAGGCGCGGGACAGCGGCACCTCGTTCGAGGCGCCTGGTTTCGTCGGCAAGCTGCGGGCGTCACACGACCCCTCGCTCGGCTGCGCGATCGCCCGCCAATGCCTGTGCACTGAGGAGTTGGCCACGTGAGCGGGGTGCACCGCTCGCGCGACCGTTCCCCGTCCCTGATCTGATCGGCCCAATCGGGGTCAAGTGGTTGCTGATCGATGGGGATCGCGGCGATCGGCTTGACCGACCGGTCGCGCGCAGTCAGTCGCGCGTCGGCGACGCGTGAAGTCGCCCCTTCGGCGGATACTGAGGCCCGCGCGTGCGCGGCGGAGTTCCAGTTCGCCTGGCTACCCTTGGTGGCGCCACCCACGGCGCCCCGCCACCGCGACGTGGCGTTCGACGCGGACGGCGACCACCCGCCCAACCGAATGCGCCTTGGCCCTTCATTCGGCCTGTGCGCTTCGGCGCGCTTCGGCCGAAGCGAAGGCAAGTAGTCAAGGCGCGGCGCGTGCCGCGCACGCCCCCAACACCCCATGCGATTGCTTTGCGATATCATCGAGATTGCGCCCGCATGTCCCCGGTAAAACATGAGATCCGCTTAGCCAGGGCGACAGTTCGTCGCGAATGCTCTCGCAGACAGGCGACGCTCTTTTCTACCGCCCGTTCTCGCGATCGCCCCGACGCCGTCGCGTCGTCCACCCCGCGTCAGCAGCCGCGCTGATTTAAGCCCAAGCGTACTCGCTACTCGCCACGCTCACCCGTGTTCTCGCGCATCGCCACGCCGTCGGCCGCGCTGGGCGCGTCCTCGACGGAGGCCGCAAACCCCCCGCATGCGGCGCGAAGTCTTTGGAGGTGTCCACGGGGGAAGTGGGCCGCGCCAGCGATGTCATGGTTTTGCGGCCTGGAACAAGGCGGAAGTCCATGCCTGCCCTCGAAATCCGCGTGAATCCTGAGGTGGTGGGCGACGTGAACAGCGCGGGCACCGCGACCTTCGGGGACCTCCCCATCGCGGAGCGGAGCTACTCGGCGAGGCGTCCCATCAAAGGTTCCATGGACGTCATCGCAAGGTGGGGCGCTGTCAAGGAGGCAATGTCCGTGGGGCGGTGCAACGACATGCCCCCGCCACTCGTCATTCCTGACGCAAGCCAGAGCGACGCCCCTTGCGTGACGAGCGTGCTTGTGTCGAAATCCTTGCAAGGCAGAAACTACCTAGTTGTGAAGGTGTTCACTTTTCTTGGCGGAGGCAAGCCGATGGCGGCGGTCCTCGACAAGATTGTCGCAGGCGACCCGCGCGTCCTGGACTACCGCCCCGGTGCTTTCAACACGACTCGAAAGTTGTAGGTGCCATTGGAAAGCGTGGGCGGGCTGTTGTTCCGCTGCTGGGGGCTGCCGAAAGCCGGGGTTGTTGCGGATGCCGACGCGGGCGAGGTTTCGGAGAAGACGGCTGCCCTTGACAAAGCGCGGGGCTTCGTGCAGGCGGAGGCCCCTCGGGGAAATTTTGACGGCCAGAAGCTACTGTGTGTGGACAGCCAATTCGTGGGCCCTGAATCGCCTCCGTACAACATGCAGCGGGAGCTCGTGAACAGCCTTGTGAAGTGCATCGCAGACCGTGGCCACTTCGCCGTCAAGGGCGACTGCGAACCTCTCCTGAAGTCTGGCGTCCGCAAGGAGTGCCAGCCGATGGCAAGCTGGATCTGGCAGACGCTGGCGGGCAACGTGATGTTCGCGATAAAGTGGGGGAGGGAGGCTGGCTTCGGGCCCTTCGTGTGCATCCTCGCCGTGGCGCCTGCGAGGCGCCGCGCAGACGTCGCTGACGAACGCCGCCCAGGTCGTGCCAAGGCTGCAATTCGGGTTTCCGCAGAGATGGACATCTTCCGCGGGAAGGTCGGGGAGCCCTGGGCGCTGTGCATCTTCGACGATTGCGACTGCGCAGATCAGCGGCGTCGAGTCCTCGAGGCCTTCTTCGACCCCGCGCAGGCTCGGGCCACGACCTGCGCGCGCTGGCGGGCCGCAATGTTCGCGCGCGGCCGAGCGAGGCGGCCGGCGACTTCGAAGCGTTGGGGCCAGCAAGCTTTGCTTTTTCAGCTTGGCTGTCAGGTTCTGGCTTTTCCCAGGGGTGCGAATCCAGGGGGTCGATCGGGCCCGCGCTTCGTCCTTGCCCAGGCTTGGCGGGGGCAACGAATGCAATTCGAGCGCTGAACCGACTGGCGCGGAGTGGGTTAGCCACGACGTCGTCCGACGCTCGCGGCGGACCACGGCCGCCTTGGTAGACGTAATTCGGCCCGCCTTTCCCATGGGCATGTCCGACAGCAGTCGGGGGGCCGTGCTCCAGCGGTGCAGCGTCGCCCCGAGCACAAAGCACTCGCTCTTCTTCAGGTTCGCTGGCAAGGGCTCGGTCGTCGAGAAGCTGCCCCTCATGAGCTGCTGCGTTAAGGCCGAGACGGGTAAGGTCCCCACGCAGCCCCTCGGGCACAAGAAGCGCCGCGACCAGGAGGCGCACGACACACTCCTAGCCTTTGGGAGGGAGGTTCTCCCCAACTCCCGGCAGAGTCGCGCGCTGCCGCGGGCGCGGACGACGCCGGCGGGGGCGGTGCCGACGGTTCCGCCGCCGCCGCAGGTAGAGTCGCAGCGCCGCGGACGCCGCGCGCCCCGCGCAGCCCGCCGTCGCCGGTTGCCGCGGCGCACTCTCTGCGGAGGGTCATCGGGGGCAGGCGGCGATCTTTCGCAGCCTCGCCATGGCCAACCACGGAGCGAGCGATGGCCTGATGACCCCGCCGAGGAAGACCAGGAGGACAGGCTTGGCCTGCAGCGGGCCACATTCGCATCCATTGTCGCGCAAGCGCGCGGGGCGACCCTGACCGTCGACGACGGGGGCCTCGTCGCGGGGGCTGACGCGGCGGCGGTGCTCGACGCCGGCGAGGCGACGCACGGCGGAGGCGCGGTCGAGCAACCAAATGGCCGGGCGGAGCGATCCAGCGGCGGCAGGCATGGCGAGCGGGGCGAGAGGGATTAAGCGTAGGGTGCGCGTTTACCCTTTATATTTATGTTTGTTGAATCGAATGGCATTTCAGGGCCAGATGAGTGTTCGCACTGCAACTCTTCGCGTAGATGCCATCCGCGTTGCGATCTGTTGGGTGCGCGACGTGATAATGCCCTGGCGAAGTGCGCGGGAAATCGCATGATGTTTGTCACTATAGCGAGGTGGGCTGAACATCATCATCTTCATCTGAGTCTGGGCGCCATCGCATGCCTCGCCTGTGCGCGTCCATGAACCGCGGCTCCCAGTCGGGCGACTCGAATCATGTTCTCTTCGGCTCAAGTAAGGGGTGGGCGGGTGTGTGTGCGTGTGTGTGTGTGGGGGGGGGGGGGGGGGGGCGCGTCGCGCCAGGCCGCCAGTCCCCGTCTTGAATTCGGATCGGCCGCCTCTTGCCCGCGTCGCTCATGGGGGGGCCGCGGCCACTCGACAAGCGCGGGCAGGCTCGCATGGGCTCGCGACCAGTGACCATGAAGAGGGCGAAGTTAAGCCCACTCATGTGCAAGCCGAAGCAATCCCCATACACGCGCAACGGGTCTTCCTCAGTCAGGCCACGTCTCGACAGGGCATTATGGACTCGGTGCTTGAAGGACTTCGTGAGCGCGACGACCAAGCAGGTGATCCACGCGTTGAAAGAGGACAAGGTCTTGCCTGAGTGGAAGGGCGCGAAGTGCCCCTACTGAAAGATCGACAAGCTGGCCCCTTGAAGGACTATGGGAGGAAGAAAGGCGGGCGGGCCCACGCGTGCACGAGCGACCGTTGCCGATGATACCTCCTGCCGCGCGCTCCCCACCCGATCTTCAAATGCAGCGCGGGGCTGCCCCGGGGGCGCTCGGCGGGCCGCGGCGCCGCGCGGCCCAGTGCTCGCAGGCGTCCGCCCGCCTTTTGTTGGAGAACAACCGCGCGATGGCAGAGGGGATCTACTCTGCGCTGCATGCGGCCCGCGCTAAGTTCGCCACCCCCCGCGAGAAGAACGCCGCCGTTGACCATTGCCGGGGCGGCGGCGCGCTCGAGCGGGCGGGCGTCGAGGCGGGCGACGTCGACGCGGCGAACGAAGGGCGAGGATCTGAGCGCTGGCCACCGCGCGCAAAAGCCCATCATCCAGCGGCAGCGGGGCGACGCCCTGCAGCGGGGGGGGGGCCGGGTCCTTGGCCCTCTTCAGTTTGACGCCAGGAAAGGCCAGCGCGCGGCGCCTGGCCCCGGCCCGACTCGGAAGAGAGATTGGGCACCCACGGCGTCCGAGCGACTCGAACACCGCTGCGTCGCCATCCGCGCGGGCGGAGCCAGGTCGCGCAATATGAAAGTCGGCGGGTCTTGCGCGACCGGGCCGTGCGCGGGAAGAGAAGGGCGCAGCGGGCGCAGGTCGGCGGGGAGTGGGCGCGGTCGACGCAAACATTCACACTGATACCGGAGAGAAATCCCAATCATAATATTTTTGAGGCTGTTGGGCTATCGGGCTACAAGGCGATATGGGCCCTTGGGCGCTACATGGGCTACTGGGCAATATGGCTATATGGGCTATACGGATATAGGGCTATGGGGCTATTGGGCTATAGGGCAATAGGGCTGCAAGGCGCCCCCGGGCACACGGGCGCCCCCGGGCGCGCCCGGGCGCCCAGGCGCCCGGGCGCCCGGGCCCCGGGGCCCTCCCCGGGCCCCCGGGCGCGCGGCGAATATCGGCGGCAAACCTAACCAAACTATGTGAATCCGCTAGGACCCCTACAGAGGCAAGCTCTGATTGGAGAAATATCCGCCACCGCGGCGCGCCTGGCGAGGGCGAGCCCCGCGGGGCGAAGCGCTCGCGAGCGATGCGCGGCGCGCAGATGATCGACTGCGCGCGGGGCGACCTGCGAGCGGCGCTCGGCGACGGCAATGCGAAGACTGTGGGCTCTGTCCTTCTCCGCAGCAGGCCAGATGAACGGCGTGCAACGCGTCTGCTCGCGTTGGCGCCGCCTCCTCAATCTTCGGCGCAGCTGAACGCCGCCCCAGGGGCGTGGGGGGCGTTGCCCAGCGCGGGCGCGGTCGGCGGGTGGCCCGCGCTGAAGTCTGGAGCGGCGGCCCAGCGCGAGATGCGAAATTGCTGCCCGCTCTCTGGCCCATGCAAGGTGCGCCCCTTCTCCCTGGGCCTCCACCTCCCGTGCTATCCGCGTGGCTGGTGTGGTTGGTAACTCATGTCCGTGTTTGTCCGTTTATGTCCTCGAATGTCTTTAGATATCCTCGGATGTCCTTAGATGTCCCTGGTGTCCCTGTTTGTCCCTTGTGAAGTCGCCGATGGTTGGACGTGGTTGAAGGCAACGATGGGCAAGGATAACACGAGGAACATGTTCGATCTTCAAGAAGAGGAACGGAAGGGAAGGATACAAAATATGGCCAGGGATCAATCTAAAGCTGCCTTCTCCTCGTTCCCTCATTATTTCTAAATTTCTTTATCCAGGTGTTCCTCCACTTCCTTTTCCTGAAGCACAATCATCCTCATTATCCTCGGCGTCCGTCGCTTCCTCCTGTTCGTCGGTTTTCCCGTACTTCTTTCCTTTTCTCTTGCTCCCTCTCCTATCCTTCTATTTCCCCTTCTTACTGTCCCTTCTCCTCGGTTGGCCATCGTTTCAGACACAGGCGCCGCGCGCGACAGAGCGCGGTGGACAGACGGCTGACAGAACGGAAAGGCCGACGACATTGAAGACGACGACGATGACGACGACGACGACGATGATGACAGACGGCGCGCGTAGGAGCCGAATTCGCACGGGGGTTTGGTCCAGAATTCGGCGGCCTGACGCTGTTCGAGAAAACGCAGCATCTGGTACGAGATGTTGGAGGGTGCATCGGGCAGAAAACATTGAATGAAAAATGAGAACATCGAATAGTCAATACATTAGCCACCGGGTACGACACAGGAAAGCTCTCTTAGTTACATATGCACCTACACTAGGCGGCTCATGCCGAAGGCCAATGCAACGCATAGAGATAGTTATTGCGCGTGTGTCTGCCCTTCGTCTCAAACCAAATGCGACACAACATTCGCCACAAAATGCTCCCGCACTAAATGGGGAGGAAGCCAGCGTGGAACCTACAATTTTCATCTGGTTAGACGCATGCACTAATACCCTGCATGCTGGTATTGCAAGGGAAACTTTAGTGTTGCTGAACATGCGTGTTTTCATTGCTGCGTCGCACACATAAACGCAACATGCCGCTACAGAGAAGTAAGGTATGACACGCGCATGTGTCATCACCACGTGCGCTGCGGCATGCGCGTGTGCAAAACACAACATATGAGTAACATTAGGGTGTGGGGCTGCACCGTGTTCAAACGCATCCACGAGAAGTCAGACAATGCACGTACACAGATACTTGTTTTGGAATTCATGAATGTGTTTGAGAGACAATGAGAAAGCACAGTTGTTTCGTTGATATATGGCTGGCCACTAAATAATACCATGATATCACGTGAATATCAAGGTTGTTGAAAGAATCTCTAGGTTACGAAGGGCAATTTTCTGCTTTTGGTTGGTGGAGGAAGAATTCCAGAATTACAAGGAAGTATATTTAATGTATCCAAAGATACCGTGTAATTCAAATATACGCATGGAATGTCATTTCGACGGGGGAAGAAAATAAACTAATCCAGAAAGGAACGCCTCCGCGGTATCCATGGCATCCTCGTGGCCGGCGTAGAAGGTTCAGGATCGCGGGGCGCGTTTCTGGATTTCGGCGCGGCGATGCGCGATGTCCGCGTTCTGGCGCCTCAACGGGGTACGATGTCCGCACTTTCGGGCTGCAACGTATGCCTGATGTCCACGATTTTGGCCCCGGCAGCAAAATTCCTTTTGAAATCGAGGAATGAATTCTTTGAGTGTCCATGAGTTGTTTTTGCAAAAAAAACAAGCAGATGTCCGCGGTTGCGGGCCATGTCGGGCCTGATGTCCACGAATTTCTGGCTGAGCATGAAGCGATGTCCGCCGATTTGGGCCGCGCAAGCAT